GGGCCCCAAGCTCTGGTTTGGGGTAAAGATTTTTGACTTCTGAAGATCTGGCACCTGTTCAAACCATCCAGTCCTATTCGGTCCTATCCAAGCCAATCAATCTGCTTTAATCTAGTTCAATCCCATCTCGTCCCATCCAATCAGGTCCTGGCCAATTGGATCCAATCTGGCTTGGGAAAACAAAGAAGAAAGTGAACTAAGGCCCTGCCTTTAAGCGCTGGACTTTTTACCTTCTGTAATTCAGAGTCAGAAAACCCCGCCCTGAGGATTTAAGGAAAGCTTCTTATTGTACCGGTCTGACAGAGTCGCGTGTGTGATATGCTCTTAAGGGGCAGGCAGAGTAACAGACCTAAAGTTGAATCCTGCTTGGGGCCTATGCTAGCTGTGCAATCCTCGTCAAATCACTTTACCTTTCTCAGCCTCAATTTCCTCCTTTGTAAAATGGGGCTGATAATAGCACAGACTTCTCAGGGATGTTGTAGGAATCAAATGAGATAATCTGGGAAGAGCTCTGTAAGCCACAGATCGCTATACAAATGCCAGCTATTGTTATTAATAACATTTTGATAGATTAAAATGAATTAAAATTATATAATTGTTAATGAGTGCTAATTGTGAAGCTACTCAGAACAGAAGATAACCTTTAAAACATGAAATGCATATAAAACTTAATAATGATTTTAAAATTGATACATTTTCTTTGTGTTTAGAAAAAAAAATATTAACCAACAGAAAGGAAACACATAAAATTTACTCTATTTGGAAATCCCCAGGCCTACAGAGAAGAGAAAAATGATGACAATAAGATCAGTCCAACGTAATACATGTAAGGGATGAGGAAAAGAGAGCTCGCTTCAGTCAGCTTGTGCTGTCCTAGGATGAAGCAGGGTTGGTGCATATTAATCATCTGTCAAAGACTGGAGGACTTTATCGGCCAATTACAGATAGAAGTAAATTTACAGCACATAAACATGGGACAGAGCTACCAAGAATTCCAGCCCTAGCACAACCAACAGTGACATTTTTAGCACAGAGATAAGAGATACATTTTTTTAAAAAGGTTGTGCTTCTGCTTGGATATTTTAGAGTTATTTTACAAAATTTTTATTTCTTTTAAACTATTTAGATATTTCCCCCTAGAAACTTACCAAGCCTCTCACTACTCTTACTCCCAATTTATCTAAGCTGAAGCAAGAATAGCAACTGTCATCATACTCTGAAAGAAGGCCCTGATTATGGGCTCTATCTCTAGGAGCCGCTACCCAGAAGGTAATCATGGCTTATTTTATAAAATCAAGGACTAAGCAAAAAATATCCTCAACTGTTTGGAGGACTCTAAACCAACATACAAATAAATGTGCCTGCTCCAAGCACAGAGCAAAACCTAGAATGCCAGGAAAAGGCATTTGCAAATAAACTCTGTTAACGCCAAATGGCATCCACTTTGCTTGGCTTGGCAGAATTTCTCTGCGTGGAGGATGGGGCACTGTTTCCCTGACCCACTGTCTCTAAATTTCTGGGGTTACAATGGGCATTTCTGGGCCATATTGTTGGAAGAGCTACACCCAGCTTTAACAAGATGGGAGTCCAACCTTCTTGTTCTAAGACCCACAGTTGCAGGAAAAGGGCTAAATAAATGTGAGCTACATAGTAATTCCTAAAGATAAATAAAGTCTGGGTCAGACTTCTGCATCCCTTCTACTTCTTTGTATTCTCTTCTTGCGTGTTATCACCTGATTCCTGCTCTGGGCTTAATAACTAATCATATAGCATGGGGCAATAAATGAGAAACAAATAACTGAATGAGCGAATAATAAAAGCAAGCTAACATTTACCCATCTCCTACTATGCGCCAGGCATGTGCCAAATGCTTCAGAGCAACCTCATTTGATCCTCATAACAACCCTGTGAGTAGGTGCTATTATAATACCACCTTACAGATGAAGAAACTGAGGCAGACAGAAGCTGAGTGACTTGCCCAGGGGCACACAACTAGTAAGTGTCTGAGGCTGCATTTGAACTTGTGTCTTCGTGACTCCAGGTCCCATGCTTTTAGATGCCTGTTTGGATTCCATTAATGTTCTTAAGTTCCCTCAAACAGTACAGATCACAGCTCAGAGATTGATGATGTCCAGGTCCACTTACAAGTGATGCGGAGAAGCAATGCCTATGGAATGTCCCGGAGGCCTCCCTCTGCTCCTCCTGACCTGATGACCAGGACGCTAGTATCCTTGGCAACACTCGGGAGAGTTTCCGAACGACGTAAGAGATAAGAAGGCTGCCTAATTAAGGTTTGCTAACACTGTACTCAATGGCTGTCCTCAACAAGCTTACATTCCAGGGGGAGACAACGTGTAAGTAAGCCAGTCTTCTCTTCCCATCATTCATTTTCCTGGTGATATATTTTACTTTGATAAGAGAAAAGATCTCACTGAATGTGCTTATGACATTTGAGCTGTTTTCATCTCAGAAATCAGAGATGGAGGCCGCTCCTTCAGGTCACCAACTTTGTGGATTATGTGAAAAAGCACATGTAAGCTGCGGACGGTGCTGCATTGCCACTTAAGTGGGCCTTTGTTTCCTCAGGGACAGCTTCTTCTCCCTCACAGGAAAGGTACAATTATCTCAACTGCTTCCGTTATAACCAAATATCAAATTTGAGGAAGTAAAAAGGGCCCAAGTTTCATGCAGAGACTCGAGTTTCTTCCTCCTAAGGCCTAATATGCTGACGTTTCAGACCGAGTCCAAGACCCATCCTGAAAAGGCAACTGAGTTAAGGGGGTGGAGTGACAGCTCCTACTTTTATGGCTCCTTCAGAATTCTTTTATTTTTCCATTTTAATTATCTGTATCCTTTAAAGTATGTTCTTTCCTTGGGGGGATAATAGCCTGGGATATAGTTGGTAAGATATAAAATAAATAAATGTCATGAGATGAGGCACGGCTTTCAATTATAAGTCATAAATTTTTTTTAACAAGATACGATTTCTCCAATTTTTATATGATGATACATGCTGACCTCATAATTTTATCACGTTTTATATTTATGGCCCAATAATGCCTTCTTGGCAAATCACAAAGGCTGTTGAATTTATGGCACAACAGCCTGATAGGTAATTTACTGATTCTCTGATTGACCGTAAAACAATTTGCTAGGAAAACTGCTGGATAACATACTGGCAGATTAAGTTTGACTGCTTTTTTTTTTCTTTCTGAAGAAATCTGGCTTTTAATTTCAATAAGTGAAAATGTAAATGACCTTTTCTGAGTGATTAAACATTTACTGAATGATATAAAGCATGCTATCTATTTAGCTGACGAGGCCCTTCACCATCCTGGCTCCCCTCTTCTGGGACCTTCCCAAAAGGTGGTGCCCAGGACTGAGCACAGTTCTCATGCGTGGTCTGAGCAGGGCAGCGGACAGTAGGATCATAGAACCTGCCTACTCTGAGAAGGTGTGCCTCTCTTCTGATGGCTTCAGAGTGAGTGAACATTTTTAGGGGCCCAGTCACGCAGTTGTGTCTGAGGGAGCTTGGTGTCCACTGAAACCCCTCAATCTTTTTCAGGCAAACTTATAGTTAAGTCCTCTTCCCGATCTTGTATGTGTACAAGCTATTTTCTGGAACTCAAGTATCCTATCTTACATTCCATTTCTCTGCAGAAAGTATTTTCAGTCTAAACTTAAAGGAATTTAAATACAGACGCTTCCTCACCTTCTGTGAACATGCATCCACGAATGAAAATATGAAATCTGATTCTGAATTCATGAGACTTCTTTTGTGTCTTATTTGAAGCTCAGTCTTCTCACTTTCTTGTGATGCCTCAGCTAATGCAGCAGCTCTGAGCAGACAGCAGCAGAGGCTGGGCAGGGGCCTTGGGGAGCATCTTTAAGCCCCCTCAATTTACAGAAAAAGAAACCAATCTCCAAAGACAGGACTGACTGGCCCAAAGCCCAGAACCTGGGCTCCACCCCCCACTTCACACTGCCACTCTCCTGCACTCCAATGTCATTAATTTAGGATCTATGCTCTTTGGGAGGAAAGGTGGTTTACCCTTGCATCATGTAGAAAAATAACATACTGCTCATAAAATTAAATTTTTTTTTTGGCTTTAACTTGCATAGGAGAACTCTTGGTCTGAGGACTCCCTCCACCAATGGAGACTGGCAATTCCCATGTAATTCCCATGTCTTTGAGGGTTGTCTGGACATGCTAAGGCTTTTATTAGGTTAGTAAAGAGTCAAGATGTAAATTCAAGTCCTGATTCCAAGAGTGGTCCTCTGCTACCTCTCTAGGAAATGAATGACATAAACAAATTGGCAGGAAAAACATTTATTCTAAAGAAATTAAGTTGCCTAGGAGTCCTTCAGAAACAGCTATTTATAAGGAAAGGCCAACGTTGGCAGACACTAATTCCATGTTCTTCTTATCTACTGATTATATTAGGTAAGTTTATGGATCCTATTAATAAGACAAACAGTTTGTTGAGTGACTTGTGTAACTGAAAGTAATACAAGTTCATTTATTTACAAGGTGTCTGATTTAGACTTTGCTTTCTCCAAACTGTCTGATCCTTACCAACTATGGGATTTCTCTACTCTGAGCCTCAGTTTCATCATACAGAATATGGGAACAATAATACTTGCAATGCTATGAAAATGCACTTTGTAAACTTGAAAACGGTATGTCCACATAAGTCATGAATAATAATAGTGAGGTTTTATTAAATTATCTACTGTTCCTTTATAAGTCTGAGAAGGTTTTAAAAATAGTGCTATTTGGACTAAAGAAATTCTGAAACATGAAATGGCTATTTAAATTCACAGAAGTAAACTTTAAATACTTTAAAGTTATAGAAAAACAATTTTAAAATACAATGAATTATCATTTGCCAATTAAAAGTAAAAGTCATGATTAGCATTTATTCCCAAGAAAAAACAGACAGGACAAAGCCCAAGTCAATCTTACACTCTCATCATCAGGAGAGCTGATGACTGCTTACCGAGGGTTAGGAGAAGGAGGATCCATTTCTTTCTGATAGTGATGTCCTTGATTGACAGGCTGCAAAAGACAGTGAAAAGAATACTTGGAAAATAGCACTGCAAATGTTTTATCTGAAAAGGTGCTGCTGTCAGGCGCATACTCCACCATGGAATTCATCCTCTAGCTCCTCAAACCTGTTGACTGACATTGGGTCATCGGTGACTGTTTTCAAAACTAGCCCTATCCTCTCAGGCTGACTACCAGAACCTAAAGGAAAAGCAGTTCGGCTGCTCTGGGGCGGCCACCTTAGGAGAGGAAGTCTGGAGATGGGGCTGCCTCCTCTGCCTGACTGTCTTTGCAAAGTCCTTCCAGGTGTCTAGTTTTGAAAACTTGGTGTCGCCCTCTCTCGACACTTAGTCCTTGACTAGATCTTCTCTACATCTCTGTCTGAATCTCTCAGCTGCCCCGCTACTATCTAGTGTAGGTCCTAACAACCTTTTCCCTAGGTTACTGAGATAACCCTGGAGCTGGTCTCCCCGTCTCTAGGTTCCCTCTCTTCCTACTTCCTCCCCATACATATTCTACATCAATCTTTTTAAAAAAAAATTTATTTCACCCCCAAATACCTGTAAAAACAATTTTTAATATTCTTTAAAACAATTTGAGTTCTAAATTCTCTTCCTCCTTACCCTCCCCCCTCACTGAGAAGGCAAGCAATTTAGTATAGGTTATACATATACAGCCATGCAAAACATACTTCCATATCAGTCATGTTGTGAAAGAAAACACAGACCAAAAAACCCACCAACAAACAAAAAATAAGAAAAATAAAGTAAGTTAGGGAAAGCATGGTTCAATCTGTGCTCAGATTCCATCAGTTCTTTATCTGGAGATGGATTATCTTGGGTCACTGTATTGCTGAGAACAGCACTGTACAATATTAGTTACTGTGTACGATGTTCTGCTGGTTCTGCTCATCTCACTTTGCATCAGTTCATGTAAATCTTCCCAGGTTTTTTTGATAGCATCTTGCTCATCATTTCTTATAGCACAAGAGTATTCCTTCAAAATCACATACTACAATTTGTTCAGCCAGTCCTCAATTGATTCCCTCAGTTTCCAATACTTTGCCAACACAAAATGCACTGGTATGTGCATTAGTGTCCCAGTTTTTCCACATCTCCTCCAACATTTGTCATTTTGCTTTTCTGTCATATCAGTCAATCTAATATGGGGTGGTACTTCAAAGTTGTTTTAATTTGCATTTCTCTAATCAATAGTGATTTGGAGCACTTTTTGTGGGCTCAGCCGGTCTAGAATTTGTTTTGAGGTGCTATTTAAAAATCTTCAATGTCTCACCATTTCCTGTGAAATAAAGTCCAAGTTCTTTTGTCGTTCAAGGCCTGACCTAATTTAGCTTCAATCTGCTTTTCTGGAATGTTATTCACCCATTCTTATCCTTTATGGATCATTTGCCATACCTTGAACATGATCACTATGGGGGGGGGTGAGGTGAGGCATTCATCTCTACAAAAGAATGGGATGTGGGATACCATGAGTGATGTCCAGAAAGAAGGCCAGTTTGGCTTGACAGAAGATTACTGGAAGGGGGCGATGTCTGACGTTATTGGGAAGGCAGTTTAGGGTCAGACTGTGAGGCACTTATATTTGATCCTAAAAGCAACAGGGAGCCACTGAGGGGTGACGTGGTCAAACCTACACTTCAGGAAAACCCCTTTAGAAGTTTTGCTTAGGATGGCCAACCAGGTAATTGCAGTAGTCCAGGTGAGACATGCACGTATGTATATTCCATCTCATTTGTGAAGTCTTTCCTGGAAGTGGTGGAAATGATCTTTCTTCTGACACCCCAGAACACTCCACTTCCCCCCCCCATCCACTGTTCAAGTTTTCTTGTGTATGTGTGTTTTATCTCCCTACCAAACCCTTAAACATATGGGCTGGTTCATGTATCCTATAAACCAGTAATGTCAAATTTAAATAAAAAAGGGATTCCTGCAGGCCACATATTGACTTGGGAAACCCACAAGCTAACATTATCTAAGTAGTATTGTCATTTTATTTATTTTGTTAAACACCTTCCAATTACATCTTAATCTGGTTCAGCAGCACTAGAGAGTTTTACAGGGATTCCCAAGAGTTTGACACCTCTGCCCTAGACCCCTGGTGGTCCCCAAAACCCTCTATGAGGTCAAAACTATTTTCAAAATAATATCATGGCATTTTAATTTCTAATACAGTAAATATCAACAGATATAACACACATAACCAAAAGCTTTTTGGGAGAGTACTCTATAATTTTTAAGAGTATAAAGGGGCCCTGAGACCAGAGAGTTTGAGAACCATATCCTGATTTTGAATTTGGGAACTGTGACTTACATCTTGGTACTTGTAGCTCAGAAGGACAAATGTGGATGCTTCAAAATCGAGGCTAATTTGAGACTGTCAAGATTCTTGAGCTCGTTCATGCCTCGGTATTCTTAAAGAGCCACAGAATTGTGAAAGACAGACTGAGAGGAAGCAGGGGGACCTATGCCAAGTAGCACAGCAGTAGCAGTACTGCAATGGAGTCAACTTTCCCACCCATATCCAGGCCTTAACGAGCTAAGGGGAAAGCACAGGACAACAAGCAAAAGGAGAAAGAAAATTTAGGGCTGAGCAGCAGAGGAAAATGGGCAGCTTGAGGAAGGCCACTGCCATCTTGGAAGAGAAGCCTCAGGCTGCAGCCACAGGTTGTACTCATCTTCTCTTCAAGGACTGAGGAAGTTCTATGAAAAGGTCTGCTTCTCCTTTAAGTATCTCTCTCAGTATTTACACTGAGCATGATCTGCTCATTTATCTACCCAAACATTTCTAGTAACTTGATTTGCCTAAATCATAAAGAAGCTAAGAATTATTTCTAGATAAATATAAGTTCAAGTTAGGACAGAACGCCAAACCTCTCCCTAAACTGTCCAAACATTAGGAGATTTCCCAAGTGGGGGGTTCTACACTCTTGTGATTTTACTTCTAACTTCTCATTTAATATAAATTTCACAAAGCAGCAGAGAAGGTGACCATGTGGACTTTATGGGTCATTATACTGCCCCAGGCTACAAACCCAGGGCTCATTATTGAAATGGACTGATGAACTCTCCAGAGACAAAGGGGCTAAGAAGGTGATGAGATCGGCGGCCTGCTGCACCTTCCAAAGCGATACCCACACCACCAGGGACGTCTACAGCAAAGTCTGTAGAGACACACAGACACACAGAAATGAAAAACACATCCAAAGACAAATGTATAAATTACCAGATGTAGGCAGACTGTGTGCCCTTCCCAGTTATTAAGGTCCCTCAGTAGGGCTGCTGGTATATTTAGATTTTAATGGCACAGCATTCTGTTCCTCTACTGAAGTCATTCACCAGTGACCCCACTTGGCTACATTTGGAGGCTCATCACCATAGCAGGCCACAGAGCCACGATATGTTTAATCACACATCATAATCATTTAAGGCACAGATGAGTTGAGATCTGAGTTGGTGGAGGCACCTCTAATGAAATTATGGATCCACAATATATGATATTAGATGATTCTATGATATTTATACCAAAATTCTAGATGTGACGAGGTATTTGAAAGCACCATCAGACTCAAAGACCCAGATAAACATTTGTGCCTCGGTTTGAGTAATTTCTCTAGGATAAGTCTTCTGTGAGTTAGTAGGCTCTCTGAAAAGCAGGCATTGGCCCTGAGTGGATGACTGAGCATTGAACACTGATCAGTGAATTAAAAAAGGATATTCCATAAAAACATTTGGTACCATAGAGTCTGATCACACAGGCTAACCTTCACGCTTCGGTCTATTTTTTACAAGTAGCTGGATGCCAAGATCACCTCGAGCCTCAACTGGTCATTCAATCCTCTTCTCTTGAGGCTAATAATGGGGCAACATGCCTCAACACTGATAAAATGTTGCCTCTCGCAACATCCTCACTCTAGGAACAATGTAATAAACACTTGTTTACCATTACTGCTGTAGCTATCAGTCATCCCCCATACAAAAATCCACAGTCACAATCTGGAATCAGGTGAGTATGTCTCACACTCCACTCAAAGGGCTTAGAAATTACATAAAATACTGGGTGACCACAGCAGGGCTACTTAAACATTTTCCACTTGTGACCCCTTCAGCGCTTCTTAAACTGTGGGTTGCAGCCTACAGCTGAAGAACCACTGAACCACAGTACCCAACAGGAGCCTTGTCTACTATAGGGCCACAGGACTTTATAGCTGGAAGAGCCCTTAGGGTTCATTTAGTCCACTCCTCCCCTTACACATGAAGGAACTGATGCCTGGAAAGTGGAAATAAATGATTTGCCCTCAGGGTCAGACCAGGATCTAAATGTGCTCTTGACCTTGAAGAGTCCTACGCTTGCTCCTTTACATCATAATGCAGTGACTGGTATATAATGGCACATAATGCACATTAGGAACAGATTTTAATAGGCTTAGACGTCTTAAGGACAGAAAGGATACAAGTTCTTTGTAGTGAATCCTTTCCCTTTATTATTTCTTTGAACATTCCTATTTAATTCAGGGGCTCTTAACCTGGGTCCATAAACTTAGTTTTTTGACAGTTTGATAACTGTATTTCAATAGAACTGGTTTCTGTTATAATCCTTACTATTTTATTTTGAAGACATTTCTCTGAGAAGGGGTTCACAGAATTTACCAGACTGTGAAAGGGAGTCCATGGCAGAAAAAAGGCTAAGAATCCCTTCCTCAAATGAAATTGAATATCCAATCTTAGCATACCAGTCACTTAATCCAACATGGTATTATGCACCACGAGTGAATTTAAATGTATATGGGCCACCAGGATCAAGGCATCACATAGCAATGCCAACAAAACAAACACAATGGCCAGGAGGACAGCAGAAAGAAGAACCCCAAAATCTGGTTTTATGGTTGCACAAGAAGTTATTTAATTAAGGTTTTATTTCTCACGGAAAAAAAAAGAGAAATTAGGTCAAGAAAAGGGCATAACTTATTACTTGCCTGGAAAGGACTGGTTCAG